GAGGGGGCTGGCACAGAGCAGGGGGTTGCTGGCCACCGTGGAAAGCTGGCTCTTGTGTTTGGTGGTGAAACCCAAGCTTGGCTGCCCGTGGGGGGAGAGCAGAGGGTGCTGGTGCTGTCGAGCTGTGCTGCCTCTGGAAGGGCTGAAGGCTTCCCCTGCCCCTGGGCTGTCCCCTGTCTCACTGTCTGTGTGACCCTGTCAGGGCTGAGCCCTGCCCCTCTCCAGGGCTTTGCTTTAGTCCTGCTGCTCTGCCAGGGGCTGAATTGGTGTCACAGGATGGTTTTCAGTTCTTCCCCTCCACTTTCCTCAAAAAAACACGATTCAGCCTTTCTCTGGCAGTGCCCTGGCAGTCTCCTGACTGTTCTTGTCTCCTCCAGGGCAAACCTGGTGGACCTTCAGAAGAAGCTTGAGGAGCTGGAGCTGGATGAGCAGCAGAAGAAGCGTTTGGAAGCTTTCCTCACCCAGAAAGCCAAAGTGGGCGAGCTGAAGGACGATGACTTCGAGAGGATCTCTGAGCTGGGGGCTGGCAATGGAGGAGTGGTCACCAAAGTGCAGCACAAACCCTCAGGGCTCATTATGGCCCGGAAGGTAACTGGGGGCAGGAGGAATGGGCTGTGGGGCTGTGCTGGAGTGTCCAGAGCTCACCCTGGCTCCAGTTGGGATCACCCTGCAGTGTCCCATCTGCACCCAAACCACCTCGCCTGGGTCGGGACTGTGGTTGTGGCTGCCCCCAGATGGGTTTTATGTGGAGCTTCTTCCACTTCAGAGAATCACAGACTGGTTTTGGTTGGGAGGAACCTTTCAAGGGCATCTAGTCCAACACCCCTGCCCTGAGCAGGGACATCCCCAACTAGAGCAGGGTGCTCAGAGCTTGGTCCAGCCTCACCTGGGATGGTGCCAGGGATGGGGCAGTGACCACCTCTCTGGGCAGCCTGGGCCAGGGGCTCACCACCCTCAGCAGTAAACATTTCTTCCTGTCTCTAGTCTCAATCTCCCTCTTTTAGTTTAAATCCATCACCCCTTGTCCTGTCCCAACAGCTCCTGCTCAAAAGTCCCCCCCCAGCTTTCTGCCAGGCCCCTGGCAGCCCCCAGCAGGTCTCCCCAGCTGGAGCCTTCTCCTCTCAGCTGCCCCAGCCCAACTCTCTCCTGCTGGGCTCCCAGCAGAGGGGTTCCCCCCTCGGGGCATTGCTGGGGCTCCGCTGGCCCCGCTCCAGCAGCTCCCTGCCTCCTGTGCTGCTTTCTCTGCTCATCTCTGTGCTCTGAGCCCTGCCCTGGACAAGGCTGTGCTCTCTGTGACAGGTCTCTGGGGTTTGGAGCAAACTGTGTGGGGAAAAAAACAAGTATTTTTTTAAATTCTAGTGAAGCTGAGTTTTCCAAACTTGGCTAAACTGCTTAGAAGCAGAAGGAAGCAGATCTCTGGAGGATCCCAGGTCCTGGCTGACAGGGGCTGGAAATGGCAGGTGGAGGGATGGGTTTGGCACAGACACATTCCTCACGCCTCACCACCCACTTAACAGATCCCCAAGGTGGTTCCCAGTGGCCCTGCCAGTGGTTCCTCACAGATGTGGCTTTGTGGGTGATGTCTTGTGCTGTAGAAAATTAGGAGAGGGTTTTTTTTGCCTGTTGGAAGAGGCCAGTGCTCAGCCAGAACAGTGCAGCCACTCCTCTCCAGGACAGGAAGGTCTCTGGTCTCGTGCTCTCAGGGTGGTTCAGTGGGTCCCCACGAGCAAATCCCTTTCTCTGGGTGGCTTCACTCAGAGCTGAGCTCTCAGAGCCTTCCAGGGAGCTTGATCTGGGGGCACTGGGTGGCTGGGAGCTGGTTGGGAGCTCTGTGTTCAGAAGCTGAAGGGGGGAGAAGCTGCAGCACTGCCCTCTGTCCTGCAGAGACCTGTGGGAAGGACAGACAGCCCTGGGCTGGGTGTCCCAGAGCTTGCAGCAACAGCAGCTCTTCTTTCTGACCTCCTGTTGTATCTTCTACTCCTCTGGCTTCCCTTTTAGCTCCACGGGGAGCCCGGGGAACAAAAGCAGCTCCTTTTTCACTTCGTGGGGCTTTAAACTTTCTGCGGTTTCCTTGAGACCCGAGCACCTCTTCTTACACCACCTACAGAACTTGTGAAGATGTTCCCAGCTGCTGAGTCACATCTGCAGCCAGCTTGTGACTCGTCCTTCCTCTCTGTGCCCTGTGTGATCTCGGGGTGTTTCACAGCCAGCTGCTGCTCTGCTGCTCCCCGTGTCCTCCCTGGCAGGCTGCAAAGGCTGCACCCAAACCAATCTTCCTTTGAAGATTTTCTTTCTTTCCACCACTCAGGGCTTGGTCACGTGGTTCCTGTCAGTTTGTTTGGGGTTTTTTTTTTTGGCTCTGTTGCACCCTGAGTGTTGGGGTTTGTGTTTTGTTTTCTTTTCCCCCCTTTCTTTCTTGGCAAGCTGATTCATTTAGAAATCAAACCGGCCATCAGGAATCAGATTATCCGAGAGCTGCAGGTGCTGCACGAGTGCAATTCCCCCTACATCGTGGGCTTCTATGGGGCCTTCTACAGTGATGGGGAGATCTCCATCTGCATGGAGCACATGGTGAGTCCCTGACCCCCCTCAGCAAACTCCTGCTCCGGGCACCTCCAGGATCGTGTCTCCTGCGGCTCGACGGGGTTGGCAGGGTGCTGGTGGCCACCGTGGCTCCACGGCCCCAGCGAGGCCCCTGTGCCCCTGCTAAGAGCTGCACAGATGTTGAAATGACAGGGATGGAGTTTTTTGGGAAGGGGAAGCAGAGGTTTGGGGGTGGCCAAAGGGAAATGTTGTCAAGCTGCCTCTCGGCAGAGCTCGCGGAAGCGCTGTGTGTGTTTTCAGTTGTCTCTGGTGGTGTTGCTCCTCTGGATCAGCACTGACAGCAGCAGCTCAGCCTTTACCACTGAGGGAGAGGAAGCTGGGGACTGATCACAAGAAGTAGAGCTGATAAGAGATAGCATTCAAGTCGTTTTCAGCAAGAAGCTTGAGCTCTGATCAGCAGATATCTTTTTTTTTTGGTGCTCGACGCTGAGTCATTGCAGACAGCCCAGCTGGGATGCTCTGTGCTGCTCCCAGGCTGCTCTACCTGCCCTGGGCTGCTCAGCCAGGGTTCGACGTGTTGATCATCTCGGTGTTCTTTATTTTTAGGATGGTGGCTCTTTGGATCAAGTGTTGAAAGAAGCCAAAAGAATTCCTGAGGAAATCTTGGGGAAAGTCAGTATAGCGGTGAGTTATGGTGGCTCCTCAGGCTTCCAGCATGGATCTGCTGGGAATGGTTTGGGAATAACTCTCCTGTGACCTTAGGGAGCTTTCTTCATTCCTCAGACACATTTTCCTCTCCTGACCATGGGGCAAGAGGCAGTGGGGTGTGTGAGAGGGGAGGGGGAACAGGTATTCCCAAGCACTCCGCAGCTCCAACTGGCTGCCGTTGACTTCTCCTGGGACAAACTTTTTTGGGTGGTTGACCCAAGATCTGTGATTGACTTGGAGATAAATTACACACCCTGAAACGTGGGGATGCTGCAGGGCAGCTTCCCTCACCCTCCTGCACCCAGAACTGATGCAAGGTGCCCTGCCAAAGGGAGCACTTCCCAACCCTGGTCTCATCCTGCCTTGGCTTCCCTTCTAGGTTCTGAGAGGCTTGGCCTATCTGAGAGAGAAGCACCAAATCATGCACAGAGGTGAGAGGAGGGACCTAAAAATAACTGCCAGCAGTAGGAGAGCCCCGTGTGGTGTCAGGAGTTGCATTCACCCTCTTTCCTCTTGCTCTTGTCAGATGTGAAGCCTTCCAACATCCTGGTGAATTCTCGAGGAGAGATCAAGCTCTGTGATTTCGGGGTCAGCGGGCAACTCATTGACTCCATGGCAAACTCTTTTGTGGGAACTCGGTCCTACATGTCTGTAAGTTCCTTTCAGCTGGCAGTTGAGGTTTTTGTTTCACAATTTGGGTTCAACTCCACTCCTCCAGGGTCAGTGTGTGGTGTATGCCTCGCTCCTGGGGTCTCTGTGCTCACCCTGTTGGCCCTTTTCCTGGCTGGTGTCAGGGCTGGGCCCAGAGCTCCTCTGCTGGAGAAGCAGATGCCTCCTCATCCTCCTGAAGAGCTGGTGTCCTCTTGGCTCCAGCCTGTGCCCAGCATGTGGAAGTGCAGAGATTTGCAGGGAGAAACCTTTCAGATCCTACAAAGGCTTCCATGGTTTATTTTGACAAGTGTTTGTGGCTTTGAAAACACCTTTTTCTGTCTAAAACTGAGTGTGGAGGGGATGCAGATGTTGCTACAGGCACCTGCTCTGTGTGTGCTTGCTGGAAAATGGGGGTCAAACCAGTTTAGTGGAGGGTAATAAGGAATTGAAGCCAAACTGGAGTCAGCCAAGTGAGTGAACTGCAGGAAAAGCTGCTTGTGCCTCTCCTTTAAGTGGTTCTCAGCAGCAGCATTGGCTCAGCCACAGATCTGAAGATGTCTGTGAGAAGAAAACTACCCCCTGGCTGGCTCTGTGTGCCCAGGGCCCTGCCCCAGGGCTGGGTGGGGGTCCTCTCCCTTCCCCACGGGTGGTGGTGGGTTGCTGGGGAAGCCCTCAGGCCATGCTGCTGTGCTCAGGCCTGAGCTGCTCTCGTATTTTGGGAATGGTTACTCAAGTACAGTTATAGTTAGACAGTGGCTATTTAAAAATCCTGTCTCCTTTGCACCCAGCCACTGGGGCTGTGCAGCTGACTCGGAGCTGCCAGTAGGGATGACTTGCAGGGGGGTATTTATTTTGAATTTTGACTTTTCTTTCAATGGTAAGAGCCCAGAGGGGATTTTCTGCTCCTTCAAGTTCCTCTTGGGTATTAACAGGAATGAAGAGGAAAAAATAAAAAATATTTTGGATAATAAATGGAGTTCATCAGGTCTGAGCATACAGAGAAATAGATTCCTCCTGTGTACTCCAGGGTGCTCAGCTCTAGCTGTGGATCAGATCCTTACAAGTGCTTCATGCTTGCATGTGATCTTGCTTTTAACATCCTCTTTGCACGTGACTCCTCTGGGAAAGTTCTTTCCCTGGAGGAGTGGAGAGCTGAGCTGGAGAGGCCATGAGGACGTCGAGTCTCATCTGTTTAATTGCAGTGCATGATATTTATCACAGAATCCCAGTGTGGTGGGGTCAGAAGGAACCTCTGGAGATCATCTCCTCCAACCCCCTGCTCCAGCAGCTCACCCACAGCAGGGTGCCCAGGGTCACAGCCAGGAGGGTTTGGGATCTCTCCAGAGCAGGAGACTCCACAGCCTCTCTGGGCAGCTGCTCCAGGCTCTGCACCCTCACCCCAAAGAAGTTTCTCCTCCTGCTCAGGTGGCACCTCCTGGGTTCCAGCTGGTGCCCGTTGCCCCTTGTCCTGTCTCTGGGCACCACTGACAGAGTCTGGCCCCAGCCTCTTGTCCCCCGGGGCCCTTTAGCTCTTGCTCAGCATTGATCAGATCCCCTCTGAGGCTTCTCCAGCTGAACAGCCCCAGGGCTCTCAGCCTGTCCTGGTCCCAGAGATGCTCCAGGCCCCTCAGCATCTCCGTAGCCTCCCCTGTGCTCTCTCCATCCCCTCCCCTGTGCCTTTGCTGGGCCATCAGGTATCACTCTGCCTTTCTCCCTCCTTTCCTTCCAGCCCGAGCGCTTGCAGGGCACCCACTACTCGGTCCAGTCCGACATCTGGAGCATGGGGCTGTCGTTAGTGGAGCTGTCTATCGGAAGGTACCCAATCCCCCCGCCAGACTCCAAGGAACTGGAAGCAATATTTGGCCGTCCCATGGTGGTGGACGGGGCAGAGGGAGAGTCTCAGAGCATCTCGCCGCGGGCCAGGCCCCCAGGACGCCCCGTCAGTGGTAGGGGCTGGAGGATGCACTGGGCACAACGCAGCCGTGGGGGAGAAGGGGTCGGGCTCTGGTGCTGGTGGTGTGGCTGGGTGAGCCAAAGGCCCCCTGGTGGAGCAGGTTGTGGAGGGGAGGTGAGTGTTGTCCAGGGAGAACTCCCTCCCCCGGGCTCCTTGGCATCTTGCTGCCTCCCACAGGGAGGCTCGAGCCACGCAGCAACATGCTGGGGACCCTGCAGGATGTGGCCCCCCCCTCTTCAGGAGGAGATATTAGAGCTCCTCAGGCTTTGGCTGTGCTGCCAAAAGGTTCCTTCTGAGCTTTTTGGGGAAGGGTTTTGCTGGGAGCTCTTGTGGAAGCACCAGACCAGCACGGGGGTGTGAAGGAGGCTCTGCTTTGAGCCATTTGCTTGGAAGCAGAAGGCTCTAGAAGTGCTGCCAGCCTGCTGCAGCAGATGGTCTGGTCCTTTCCAAATGCTCCAAGCTAGGAAAGAAATCCAGACTACAGGCACGGGGAGAGCAAGCTGCAATTTCAGAGCACGTTCTGCTTTCCTCTGGTATTTTTGTTTTTAACCCTGAGGCAGTCCCCAGGTGGGTTGTCTCTGCCTCTCCCAGCAAAAGCCCCACAGCCCACGTGCTTTTCACAGGATGTGCAGCCCCTCACCACTGTTTTTTGTCATCTTACCCATGCAGGCCATGGGATGGACAGCAGGCCTGCCATGGCCATCTTTGAACTGCTGGATTATATAGTTAATGAGGTGGGTATTTCTTCACTCATGGCTCTGCTGGGGCTTCCCTGAGGTACCCCAGTGTCGTGCCCACTCTGCTGAGGCAGGGTGGGCTCCCCTTTGCTTGAACAAGGGCTTTTTAATGGAGAGCTGCACTGGCATCCTTTCCTTTTCCCCTGTTCCTTCTCCCATCTCTGTGTTGCAAAAGAGTCTGATTTTGGAGCAAGGCTCTGCAGGGGGAGAGTCCTAATGCCCTTGGAAGAGAGCAGTGAGGGGAGCTCTTGGCTGTACTGACCTGCTCCTCCCTAGATCAGACCCCAGAGCCCAGGGCCATGTGTGTTCTCCCACGTGGAGCCCTTGAGTGAGGGTGACCAGTGCTAAATTCCCAGGCTGAAATGTCCCACCAGGCTTTGAAGGTCCAGCCCACCAGTAAGTGGAAGGAGCAGCTTCCCCTCTCAAGCTGGTAGGAGCTGACCCCAAATTATGGTTTCTGGAACACCTTCACCCACTGTAGGTGTTGCCAGAGCTGGGGTTTGAGAGGTTGGACCCAGAACTGTGATGCTGCAATGTCACAATTTCTGTAGGTGACGTTTTGTTGCTTGACCCCTTAACACAGAATGATGCAAAAACCCCTTCTCCTTTTCTTCACAGCCACCTCCCAAGCTGCCAAATGGAGTTTTCACACAAGATTTCCAGGAGTTTGTAAATAAATGGTAAGGGTTTGATCTTCTGGCTGAAGGGGGAGGCCTGTGAGTCTCCCTGGCAGCTCAGCAGGGTGCTGCTCCTCCTCCCTGAAGGTTGTGTCCCCCGTGGTGTCCTCCATGCTCTGGAGGAGATCTCTCCCTGCTTGCAGCATGATCCTGCAGGGAGCTGCTGCCTCGGGAAGGGCTGGAAGAAAAGTGGTTTAGCAAAGCCCCAGCTCCTTCTAAATGTGAGCCTGGCAGGGGGCTGGTGGAGCAGGTTGCTGGGGCTGGGAGTCACCCCACAGAGTCACAGACACCATCGACTCCCAGACCTGCTGCTGGGGTGGGGGGGGACACCTGAGGATGCCCCCACAGCTCCCATTAAACCCCAGAGATCAGATGTTACAGGAGCTGCTCATCCCCACTGGGTGTTGGGTCCTGTTCTCCTTTGGGAGGGCACGGTTCATCCACACAGCCATGGGGAGGTGGCTGCTGCAGCTCTCCCGAGGAGCAGGGCTCTTGGGGATGACCTTTCCGAGCCATTTCCAGGCTGCCAGGCTCCTGGGGAAAGCAGCCAGGAGGCCAAGTGGCTCCTGGAGGAGCTGGAGGCCTCTCCAGCCAGATAACTGCTTTCCCACAAGAAACGTCTCAGCGTTGCTTTTTGCTCTCTTGTTCTTTTCATTTCAGCTTAATTAAAAATCCAGCAGAACGGGCAGATCTGAAGATGCTGATGGTAAGTGGGGAAGGCAATTTTCTTTCTACGCTGGAGTGGCATCCCATCTGCAAAGTGCTGCCCTGTCCCTCTGTGCCTCTCTTGCTCAAAAGGCTGGAAACTCCCAGGCTGAGCTCAGGAGGAGCCAAAGAGAGCCTGGGAGAGGGTGTGACTCACCTTTGATTCAAAGGCAGTGATGGTATCTAGGGATGGGAACCACCCGACTGTTGAGGTGCCTGGGACAAACCTTTGCCTCCTGAGCTGATGAAAGTGAACAGAGGAGCTGGGCAGGAGCCAGCCCTGGGCACTCACAGCCTGGGCTGCCCCCCCAGCAGCGTGGGCAGCAGTTGAGGGAGGGGATCCTGCCCCTCTGCCAGCTCTGGGAGACCCCCCTGCAGTGCTGGGGCAGCTCTGGAGTCCTCAGCACAGCAGAGCCAGGGACCTGCTGGAGCGGGGCCAGAGGA